GTTTGGACTAAAGTCATATTGTGTATTTATCCTTTTGGGATGTCCTTAGAGAACCAGGCAGTGCCAAGAGCTTAAAAAGACTTTAAAAGATTACCTAAAACTTATTTCTATGCTGTGTGCTTCACGCATCTGGCTTAGAGGGAACACGCCGTACAAAGTCTAGAAGTCGTTTTCGTTTGCTTTGAATTCTTCTTGTGCCCCATAAGCCTTATTGTTTGGCCCCAGCTTTGATTCACAAACACTGTATATGGGTGGTTTTGTTTTTCTTCTATTGCTTGAAACAGCAAAGGATACGTAGTCAGTGGTAAAAGTTTTTGTGGCAAAACTTCCTTAATTATTTGGCCTTTAAAAAGAAAAACAAACACGCACCAAAAAAACCCAAACCATGAGTAGATTAGTTTCTTGTACAGATGCTATTTCAACTGTTTTTGCAGATGACGGTAGATAGTTAATATTGATTGGTGACACTATGTAAACATAAACCAAGAAATGATGAATCATCTGTTTACTTGAATCTACAGAGGAGGGAGGCTAAGGCCAGGGAGCCCCAGGCTTATGGAAGTGCAACAGCATTTTCAATAATCGTGAAGTGCTGAGAGTGGTTTACGTGTTGTTCCAAAGACAGTGTTCACAGTACAATGATGTCCTGGAATTTGGAGGGAAATGTGAAAGTCATTGTATTTCACCCTCGCCAGGAGGATGAGTTTATGTTAGACTACATAGGCTTCAGTTAATGAAGTGCAGTTGGTCATATTTTCGCTGGCAGTACATTACCAGTTGGTAGGTTCACATCATTTATGAACCAGCGTGGAGTGAAACCAGGGATCGAGTGTCTTTAGAATGTAGACCTGGAAGAAAAGGTCAGTGTCCCTCCGTGGGGAGGAAGTACCATCTGCTTGGGGACAAGAAGAGGCAGAGGAGAAAGAGGGGATCTGTGAATGAAGGTGGACAAATGTTCAGATGACTGGAGCCTTTTGGAGAGGTTCTCCTTTTCCTGTTCAGGCAGAATGGATAAGGCAAAGGATTAAACAATGCATATGAATGATAAGTTGAAATATTTTTAGTACCTGAAGTGACAGAATTTTTAATTAGTAGCGTGGAAGACCCATGCTTGGCTTCGTTTGGAGATGCCAGATTGACAAGTAAAACACCCGGCTCCTTCCATGTACCTAATGTGTAGACTGGCTTCATTCAGTAACGCTTTGGTGCCTTTTGGTTAGGAAGCAGGTAACTTATCTTAGCTGCTACTGATGTATTGTGTTGTGATTCTGTTTCAAGGAAAAGGATATCTGAAATGGGGAAAAATGCAGAGATAAAAGACCAAGTTACTAATTTCTTTTTTTCATCGGCAAGTAGACAAAGAACTCATTATGAAAATTAGGATAGAGAAGGAAGGGGACTGGTTTTTAGAAGTCCCTTGATTAGTTTCATGTTTGTTCCACCAACTGGTGTATTTAGTTATGTTGGCATTTACATGGTCTTAAGTAGGCTTTGAAGTTATCAGGTCACACCTTATTAACAAAAGCTAAGGAAGACAAGGGTGGATCGCACTTTTGTTGTCACCTTTGTTTATCTGGAGACCATTTTCTGCATGACCGGGTTAACAGCTCAGTAAGCCACCATCACTGCTCTTCCCACAAGTCTTAATATCTGAATCTCAGTGTCTAATACTGCACTTCTCCAAGGAGGCATCTAAAAGCAAGACATTGTGGGGGGAATAAGGCAAGTCTGATTTTGTGCTTTAACTTGTTCAAATCTCCCTTCAAAGTTTAAGCTGGACTTAAACTGCTTAAATTTGCGATGCTTACTCCAGTTTCTGATCCTGAAGTAACTTGCCACTGCTGAGTAATTTTTTCTTAATAGGTGTTTATAATCTACACAGACTGGACAAAAGGTGTCGTGCAGGCTTATGGTTGGTTGGTTGGGTTTTTTTGTGTGTGTGTATTAGAAATCTTTCTTTTCCCTTTTTATATAGGCAGGTACAATCCTGTTTGCTGAAACAGGCTTCAGAAACCATTTCAGGGAAAGTATTTCTGAGGTGCACAGAAAAGGATGGTTAAAAATTTCTGATACCCAGCAGTTACTGCACCCGTGTGGTATTACTGTATTGGGTAATACAAGAGATGACAAAGGTCTTGTTCAGATCACGAATCGGGATAATGCTGACACTAGTCTGAATCTTCATTGCAAATAAGAGTCTAAACTTCACAGCAGAAAATGGTGAGTGGCTCACTTAGACCTTAACATGACTTGCTAATGCCTGTGAAATGTCTCAGTTGTTTTATCTTCACTGGCGTTTTACCTCTAATTGGCAAACTTGATCACATTACATTCTGTACCTCAGAGCAGGAAAAGTGCTGCAATGGTCCCCAGCTGGAGACTGTTCCGAAGGAACCTATTCACGTGGGCTCACTGAGGCAACCCATTGTTTTAGGTACAAATGGTACAGATGACTGCGAAAATTTGGCTTTGGTCTTTGTTAAATGAGGCCAGAAAAAAAACAGTACCCGGGGAGGGGAGGGGAGGGCGGAGGCGTGTCAAAAAGTAATTCAACATGAAGTTCATGTTCTGTAATTAATGCGTGTTGAGTTTAGATTTTGTCACCTGAGTCAGGGAAAATGGAAACATTTCTTGGTACATTTGGTACATTAGAATCCTTAAATTGTTCTATTTACAGCTGTAATTCAGTGTTATTTTCTAAATAACACAAACAAAAATGTCCCCGGTTAACTTTGGTTTTACAGTTAATGGAGACTATGACTTTCAAACTGTGTGCATGTGATTTTTCTTTTCTCCTCCTTACTAAGAGAATAATTTACATTAAAATTCTTTCTATACACTAAAACCAGAATTGTTATTGACTATTAGGTGTCAGATTCTGCTTCACAGAGGAAGGAGAGTCTGAGGGAAGACTGGATTGTATTTACCGGGAAAGCTGGTATAGTAGAGCTGGCCAATTTAGACAGGGGGGTGGGGAAAGCCAAAGCTGTAAGAAGATCTTACCAGTTTTGATCAATATTAGTAAGTCGGTTTATTCCT